GGCACGTAGGAAGTACTCAACACATGGTAATTATTAGTATTTTATTACTGTTACCTTCAGCAAATAAATTAATGATTGAATTCAAACATTTATAGGAAGAAATTTTGTGTAATTCTGGGGCTATAGTAAATTTTTTATATGCTTGTTTTAAAGAATATACTGCCTTAAACAATTCTATAATTCATACAATTAATGGCCTTTTACCCAATGTTGCTGCAATGTTACAGTTGTTGGCTTTACTTAATCTCTTCCTTTGGGTAATCTTTTATCTTGAATAAGAGTAGAATAAATTGTGACCTCATGTAGCTAGAACAAATCTTAGATAGTGAGTTTGCTTTAGATATTTTTTTCAAATCACATTTATAGGGAGATATGAAATATAAGTTTTTTGGGGGGGAGAAACACACATGGTTTCTAAGAATTCTGAGGCTCTAATGCAGCGGTTCTCAACCTGTGGTCACCAACAATGAAAATACATCCTGCATATCAGATATTTACATTACGATTCGTAACAGTAGCAAAATTACAGTTATGAAAAGCAACAAAAATAATTTTATGGTTGGGGGTCACCACAACATGAGGAACTGTATTAAAGGTTCGCGGCATTAGGAAGGTTGAGAACCACTGCATGTGGTATCTTATCTAGTGAAGGGAACCACAGGCTTATCTGCATGTCGCATACACCGTTTGCTGACCTCTCCATAGTGTAATACCTTCACAGGCAACATGGGGGTGAACTTGATCATGGTCCCTTTGTTGACACATCTCAGCTCTTCCTCCTGTTTTTTCTCTCTGACTTAGATAACAGCAGGGAGAAGGGGAGATGGGCAGAGTACCCCCAGCAAAGTAAGTCTGGTTTTTTTGGGGGGGCAAGTCTGGGAGTGCTGGGGGTTAGGGGTGGGGTCACACAGTCCATCACCCAGGCAGAGAGAGTGCAACACTTACTTATGTTTTTGAACTTTTGTCCCCTGTGAGTGTGAGACAAATGAGGATTCATTTTAGTTAGGAGTATTTCTCATCTGTCAAATCTGAAAATCTCCTTTAAAAGAAGAATTGGGTTGGGGCTTATACCAAAGAGAAAATGCAAGTAAGTATTAAGATTTGCCAGTAAATTACAGGAATTTCTTAGTGTTCCATTAGTTTCTAAAACCAGGCAAAACAATTTCTTGCAAACAGCTAATTCCACAGAAGTCTGAAAACCCATGAGTTTCACTCTCATCTTCCCTTTGGGTGCCTGGAACCTCGGCAACAGTATGGATTCCCCCTACCCCGCCCTCTCCAGTCCTGGGCCTTTCCCTCCGCCCCCTCACTGTCACACACTGGATTCCCAGCTGCCACTGATGTCTCTTGTGACCAATGGCCGATGCTGGTGGGCAGGGTGTATGCTTTGGTTCAAGAATATCCATATACCTTAGCACACTATTCCAATTCATTATCTGTAGAACCAAAGGTATGATTATAAAAAATGATTTAAAAATATTGTTTGGAATGTGACTGGGAAGATCACAAGCTCTGAAGCTGAGATATGTGGGACGACCTGGAGCAGAGGTACCCTACAAGTTGGCCACATGTCATTATTCTGTCACTGCCATCCCCTAACTTCTTTTTCTCCTTTTTTTTTTCTTTAGTCATCCCCTAATTTCTACACACCCACAGGAGCAGAGCTGGGTCGCTATGGCATACTAGACATCAGAGAGAATTCATACCTACTCTTACTTGAACCTTTTTCCCCTATCAAAAAAAAAAAATCTAATAGGGAAGGAAATAAAGCCAGATGTGTAGGTCACAGCGTCCCCTCTTATTTTCCTACTTGGTCTTCTAGTGGTGATGCTCAACTGTAAAACGACTTGAAAAAAAAGGAGCTTCAAAAGTAGAGACCCAGGCATGAGGGGGCTCTTATCTGGGAAAGAGCCACTGCACCAGCTGGTGCTCCAAAGGGCAGAGGTGGGGGGGGGGCGGTGCTGAGGGGCTGTTGGGGTGACTCAGGCAGCTAGGACTCTGAAGCGGTCACCACGGGCTGCTTCGTGGAAGAACTAAACCTCAGAAGAGTTTGAAGGAATGAGAATGAAACGCTCAAGTCTCAGATACTAGGGACTAGTGAAGAGGGGCATGCTCCATCAAGGTGACATGAGAAACGGACAGAGAACTCCAGTGCCATCATGGCGGAGGAAGTGGCCACAGAGCCACACACGTGGGCAGCAAGGAAAGCCCTGAAATCCACTTGAGCCCAAGGGCATGGGAGCCATTCTCTGAATGGGGCTAGTTGAGGTGATGCTAGGTGGCCTGACCCTTCACAGGCATAGACATGAGCTGCAGCAGGGGACCCCGAGGAGCCAGGTCTCCCCTGGCTCCCCCAGGCCACCCAGAAGTCAAGGGAATGCAGCCAAAGGAAGGAGGGCCAGAGGCAGATATATCTCTAGCATCACGGAGTCACTCTGAGGGGTGTGAATGCCACCCTCTTCTCTGATCAGGCAGGGATCTGGGGACTAGGCTTCAAGCTCTAATAGCCAGAAAATGAGAATTCTAATTCAGACAGTTTTCCTAGTGATTTGCCCTCAGTCCTTTAAACCCCGCCTCCACCCCCATCCTCTACAAAAGTAAGCCCATCTTCTAAGCAGAATTAATAATGAATATAGCCCAGCCAGCGTAGCTCAGTGGTTGAGTGTCAACCTATGAACCTGGAGGGTCACAGTTCAATTCCCGGTCAGGGAACATGCCTGGGTTGCAGGCTTCATTCCCAGTGCAAGGAGTGCAGGAGGCAGCTGATCAATGATTCTCTCTCATCATTGTTTCTATCTCTCTCTCCCTCTCCCTTCCTCTCTGAAATCAATAAAAATGTATTTTAAAAAATCATGAATATGAATGCCACAAGTCATTTATGCCTGAGATTGTGACTTGGGAGAAGTGATAAGTTAGAAATTTGCAATATAAAATCATTCATTCATTCAACTAATATTAGCAAAGGGCCCACAGCGTACAAGCAACGTAGAGATACAGCAATGAACACAAGAGGGCTCTTCAACCCTGAAGCTTCAAATAAATAAAATATTGATTTCCCCAAGTCCTTTCATATAAAATCCCCACAAACCCTTCAGTGGTTTGCCAACCTTTCGGACCTCATGGACCACAAGTTGGCGGCCACTGCTTTAGAAATATTTTTTTCCTTCATTTTTGTACACAGAGGCTTGATCATAGAATCTATTTGCAAAACAAATAGTTGGAGGGTAGGGGGAAGAGTAGGGGAAGAACTCCAAAGAAACCCAAACTAAACGTCTCAGCTAAAAACAGGGACTACAAGTCTAATCTGAAATATACTGAGATAATGGAACTGATACCCTGCAGCAGCCTCTGACATATAATTTATGTCTTAATTCTCAATGATACGAAGATAGTGTCAAAAACAACTTATATTCACTTGTATTTGTGTTAGTTTTAAAATCATTAAAAAATCAAGTTTATTTTTATGCAAGTATTTTATGCACATGTATAAGGCTTATGTCAACCACAAAAAGTCAGTTCCTTTGCCTACTTCCCTTCCCTAGATTCATTCACAAAGTTAACTACTTTCCACTCTCTTAGCTGTTTTTCCTCTAACCAGAGTAATATCCAAAGTGTGCTATCTCTTGATTCAGCTATTTTAGAGATTAGGCACTGATGTCCCATTGTGATAAACATTTCATTCCCAAACATTCCCATTTCATTGCTGATATTCAGGCGGTCACACATTATCAGAGCAAAATTAACTTCTGGGCTAGTCGGGGCAGAAGCTTCCTCAGTGCCCTCTCCAGGCCGACCTGCCGCTCTAGTTCCTGTGCTGGCACACCCTGGCCTTCCCCAGGACCCAGCAGCTAAGGGGGCCCTCCAGAACTCCACCACAGTGCTTGGACCACTACCCGTTCTGACTGTCCAGGGCCTGTGCTGTATTCATCAATTCCCAATCCTCTGACCCTCCCAATATAACTGTCCCAATTTCCTACTGAATTCATATTTGGGATGTTCGTTATTATGTTTATACAAATATTGTTTACTGTGGAGTCAACCTGTAACTATGATTACATTTTTCTTGTACAGCTTTCTGCTTTTACTGTAATGAATAAATGCCTGATTTTTTTTAAAAATTCATTTCTTTGGACACCTGAATACAGACTGCTCTAACTATGGAGTGAAACTTTGGACTTGCTGAGGGACTTCAAGTTTCAGCTGTCTATCTGGGGGTTTTAAAACAGAACAAACTTGCCCTCGCTGGTGTTTCTAAGTGGTTAGAGCATCAGGCTGTGCACCGAAGGTTCTCGGGTTCGATTCTCAGCCAAGAGCACATACCTGGGTTGTAGGTTTTATCTTAGCCCTCGTCAGGGCGCGTGTGGGAAGTAACCAATCGATGTCTCTCTCTCACATTGATGTTTCTCTTCTTTCTTTTTTTTTTCTTCTTTCTCTTTCTCTCTCCCTTCCTCCCCCTGCTCCCTTCCACTCTCTCTCTCTAAAAAAAAAAAAAAAAAAAAAAATCAATGGAAAAAATATCTTCAGGTGAGAATTAACAAAAAAATTAAAATACAATAGAACAAAATTTTTTTAATTATAAAAATTTCCAGATACAAGAATATATCTATCACACAGACACAATGTTATCAAGATTTTTACCACATTTGCTTAAGCTATTCCTTTTCCTTTTGCTGACATATTTCAGAGCAAGTTCATTAAACAATATACATCTCAATATGTATCATTTTTAAAAGAGAAATTTTCTTTTATAATCATAATGCAATTATCTAATCTAGGAGAATTAATAATTCTTTTGTTTGCAGGCTTTTGGAGTGAAATAATTCATACAGAATTATATACTATAAAAAACACTGCCTTAGAATAGCAATATTCTGTAGACTCAAACAACTTAAAAATGAAATTTAGTATGTTCTGAAATGCAAGGTACGGAGCTACCATTCAACTAAAGCTGGGTTCAAAAGTGTCTAAGACAACTCTTAAAAAAAAACACAGTATAAAGATTTTAGTCATTACACATTATTTTAATAAAAAAAACTGCTTTATACAAATATACAGATCTCAAATTGTAACATTAAAATACAGAATACCATAAAGTGGCTATGTAAGTTTTCCTAATTGAGACAGACTTTCTGTCACATTTTGACATTTATGATTATTAACACATAATAAACACAAGAAGTATAGATTTCCAACCTCATGATTAATAAATTCCTTTGCAAACGAATGAAGGTACAATCATTAAAAGGGGAAACGGTTGGCAAGTTAGATAGCCCTGCCTACATTGTGTTATGTGAGTAAAAGACACAGCAGGAGCTATAAGGAACTGTGGTTAAATATTCGAAGTAGGGGCAATATAGCTTTCTCAGACTTCTACCAATGATTATATCCTTGATATATAAACATCCTTAAAAATAAAATAGTTCAGATTACATCTATATTTATTCCACATGGCAATTTCTTAATGTATTACTCTGATGTATATTTTTGAACTGGAGTCATATACAAAGAAATAATGAGAAATCCTTAAAAAATATTATTCACAGGTCAAATTATGCTTAAAAATTAAAAGGTCTATGGAAAACAATGTGTGGGCAAGAAATATTGGGAGACATTCTTCCACAAATAGTAGCTGTCTTGTCTTAAAACACAAAATAAAAACAAAACTTCCTACAATTAAACTCACAGACCTAAATTAGCTGAACTAGAGTGACAAAGTCAAAGCTAGTCTTTCATTTGCACATTCATTTGATAAAACAAATTACGCTGAAAACAAAAAAACACCAAAAAAACAAAAACAAAAACCCTCCTTTGCAGAACTGGTGATTCCTCTCAGCACTTAAATGAAGACAACTGTTACACAGCTCTTTTTTAAAGAAAGCAGTATATCCAGGAAACTGACAGAATGTTACTCATAAAATTCCATAAAAGCTGTAAAGCAGCCAAGAGTTGATGGCATTTAAGGACAGTAAAAGATTGTACTGTTTATACTCATTGATGGGCTTTGTGCCAACATTTAAAAATATGCTTTTCATCGACTACAGACGAAACATTGAGGAAATACAATATTACATCATACCCCAGGACAGTTACTACATCTGTATAAAGAAATCACTAAAGAGTTACTTGTTATTTTAAATGAAGTTCTGTCTAGGCATCAGACTTTAATCTAAATGCCGACAGGGCCTAATTTCAACTCCCGAGATAAACAAAAATAGCTTACGTATCAAGATAAATTCTCTTTGGCCGCAATGGATACCATTTTCTCTGGGGGCAGTCTTTAGTTTGCTTTCTTTTCAGTACCACGTTAGTGGTTTTGCTGGTAGAAGTCTCTGTTGGTGTGGTTTCTATTTGTGTTATAAAGCTCTCAGGTTTAACATCTGGCTCCCTATAACAACTGGAAAAGACTTCTTGGTGGATTCTCTGGAGTTGGATAACAGGCTGCATCTTCAGAACTTGAGAAAATCCATCTCCTTGTTCAATTAATGCAGGCAAGGACTTAAAAAAGTAAACAAACAATAATACTCAAAATTAATCTCAGGTTGAAACAGAAATACACAGCTGCTGGCCTGATTGCCCCTAACCGCCTCTACCTTGGCCGCTGTCACTTTGTGGCTTTGTCCAGAAGGATGTCCGGAAGATGTCCAGTCTAATTAGCATATTACCCTTTTATTAGTGTAGAAGATATTAAGACTCCAATTTGATATGCTATATACTATAGTGGTTAACAATATAAGCTCTGAAGCCAAATAACCAGAGTTTAAATCCTGGCTGAGTTACTTATTTGGGCAATCTAATTAGCCTCTCTGTGCCTCAGTTTCTTCAGCTGTAAAATAGGGAAATAGCAGTACCTATCTCATAGGGTTATTGGAAGGATAATGAGGAAATATAATATATGTTAAGCAGTTAAATGGTACCTGATCCATGCTAAATGCTCACTAAATGTTAGCTGGCATTATTATCCAAAATCACTTGTTGGATCTAACTCTCAGAACTCAAAAATATAACCAACCTTTAAAGAAGCCAGGTATAATACTGGCACACAGTAGGTATCTAATAAATGTCACTGTTGCTTAATTAAGTCATTAATGACCTATTTTAAAAACTACTAAGAATTCCTATTACAACAGACTAAAACACATATGGCTGCTAAAAGCAAATACCTAGCTACAGATTTTGTTCATTTTATAATTTTTTAGCATATAGCTTTTACCTTCATGGCTTCACTGATCTCCTTAGCTACTGTTTCTCCTCTGCATCTCAAATTTTCCACACGAGAGGCTGCAAAGAAACCGCCAAACAGTATTTTACATTTTTAAATCTAATAACATCATAAAAGACATGCAGATGCTACCTAGATAAAAATCTGTCAGGACTATTCACCTTAGTTCAAGCTTTCTTAGGATAGTTTATAATCTATTAAAACAAGTATCCTTTTAAATTTATCTAGATACATAAGACTAAAAACATAAGAACAGTAGAGTAAAAGAAATAGTTATACACATAAGATGATAGACAACAAGAGTTGTATTATGAGTAGTCTTAACACTGTGACTCCAGAAGAAAGCATGTTTGTTCCTATATTATTTACCATTATGTTTAACATCTTCAAGCCCTATCATCACATTTAAAATAAACATGGGCTAATATTTGATATTTATACTATTCTGAATTTTATAAAAATAAAACATATTTGGACTTTAGAATTTGTATTCACGCTGCATCATACCTAAATGGAACTTCTGGAATAGATTGTGGGTAGTATATTAATTTTTCTTTTCTTACTTCTTTGATGCTTTTCTAAATCCAAATATATTTTATTTTATTTTAATCTCTGTTATAAGTGTTCATGGCTACTTCATAACAGACCTGCATATTCAGGGATAAAACCTAAAACTCCAAGAGAAACCAGAAATGTGAAAAATCATTCTATTATGAAATTGTCTACAAATTAGTTTTTAGTCACTAGAAATTTCCTTTTTATTTCCAGTGTCCTGACCGGGAATCAAACCTGAGACCCTTTGGTGCACAGGAGGACACTCTAACCAACTGAGCCACATCAGCCAGGGCAGAAATTTCATAAAGTCTAGGCAAACAAGTACATAACTACGTTAGAAGGACTATAACTTTATCAGCTTCGAGAGACTGGCAAATAAGTCAAGAAAATAATTTCTGTCATAGCTACTATTTTCCTTTTCTGACTTTCCTTAGCTCAAAAAAGTGAGAACACTTCTAGAAAAAAAGGAAATGAATAGTAAAAGCAAATGAGAGAAAGAAGGCACTCAAAGTTGAAAGCAGGCCCCGAAAGAGCAGTCACTCAAAGGTGACATGATGGGCTCAAGAAAGGGTTCTTAACCATTTTTGTTACCAGAAATTTCTTTTGAAATCCAATGAAGCCCATAGACCCCTTCTCGGAGTACTTTTTTAATGTACTGGTTTTTTAAATTGACATAATTTACAGTGAAATATATATCTTAAGTTTAGCATTCAATCACCTTTAACAAATATATACCAGGATGGACATTTCCATCACTCCAGAAAATTCTTCTGTTCCCCTTCCCCAGTCAACCTTCTCTATAGGAAGCAACCATTCATGTGATTTCTATCATTACACATTAGTTTTGCTTACTCTAGAATTTCAGAATGTTTTAAAATAAAATTTTAAAATATGATTATTTAAAAGTTCTGCCCTGATCGGTTTGGCTCAGTGGATAGAGCGTCAGCCTGCAGACTCAAGGGTCCCGGGTTCAATTCCGGTCAGGGGCATGTACCTTGGATGCGGGCGCATCCCCAATGGGGAGTGTGCAGGAGGCAGCTGATCGATGTTTCTCTCTCATCAATGTTTCTGACTCTCTATCCCTCTCCTTTCCTCTCTGTAAAAAAATCAATAAAATATATTTTTTAAAAAGTTGTATATGTAACATGTGTCCTTTTACTAATGATTTAAATAACATCATCAAGTGGCAGGTCTAATAATTACTGTAATATGAAAATAATGAGTAGAAACAATATTGTGAAGTATCTGCAACAACTGAAATTGAAAATATCTGTGGCTTCTAGTAGCAAAAAAAAGTTACAGGTATGGCTAGTATCACCACCATTTCCTGCATTCTAAATGGAAAGGAAATGTTAAATTTCAGTTTGAGGTTAGTAAAAATAGCAATGTAATTTTTTTCCTACCCAAGCCTATAGTCCCCTATATTCTAATAATTGTATTTATTGTACACATGAAGATGCAATGGGCATATTACTTGAAAATATATCTAACACACTGTTTAAAAATAAGTTTATCCTGTTTCCCAACTATGCAGACATTCCGCATTCTTGAGCAAGGTAGTTACATGTGTTTATGTGTAGGTGTAAATATAAAGTCATCAAGCTGTGCACTGTACATACACCCTAATACAGTATATACACGCATGCACATAATAACGAACAAAATCTTTTTAAATATTTACTCTAGAAAATTGTCCTAGCCGAAACCGGTTTGGCTCAGTGGATAGAGCGTCGGCCTGTAGACTGAAGGGTCCCAGGTTCGATTCCGGTCAAGGGCATGTACCTGGGTTGCGGGCACATCCCCAGTGGGAGGTGTGCAGGAGGCAGCTGGTCAATGTTTCTCGCTCATCGATGTTTCCAACTCTCTATCTCTCTCCCTTCCTCTCTGTAAAAAATCAATAAAATATATTTAAAAAAAAGAAAATTGTCCTACTTTTATGTATAGGGCAAGACAATCATATTCTTCTTCATTGTTACTGCATGATTTACAAAAGAATTTATCATCCAAGGTATCCTTAATTTTTTAAAAACACGTGCTACCTTTTAACTGTCTATAAACCCACACTGATGGACAACAACAGCTGTTCTACATCTGCTGCACAAGCAATGACAATGTAAAAAGTACCAAGAGTAGTTTGGGTTTGTGTGTAAAAAGGAGTCAGGCCCCAGGCTTAGATAATTATAAACATATGTTCACACATAAATGTCTGGTGGAATATTCTAAAGTTGTGCTGGACATATAAGACATTCAGTATTCTTATCTCCAGACTACAAAATGCCAGCTGTACCCCCCTATTACTGTGGTTAACCAAACACTTTCCAACTCCCACCTTTTCAAAATATATTTTTATTGATTTCAGAGAGGAAAGAGAGATAGCAACATCAATGATGAAAGAGAATCATTGATTGGCTGCCTCTTGCACGCCCTCTATTGGGGATCGAGCCCACCACCCAGGCATGTACCCTTGACCAGAATTGAACCCGGGACCCTTCAGTCCACAGGTCCGACTCTCTGAACCCCCACTTTTCCAAAAGGACCACTAGGGGGCAGTACTGCCTCCAGTGAGAATCAAGCTGTTCATTATCTATCAGAACTTGCTTGGGAACAAGAACCTCATTTTCTCAACCTTGGACTCCCCAGTGTTGAACACAGTGCTTGGCATGTAGAGTGCTCCATATGTATGATGGACAAGGCTATGATAGAGGGTTCTGTGGAGGCACAAAGGAGGGTCAGGTCAATCCAACAGGGGAATTGAAAAAAGCTTTACAGATGTTACAAAGAGAGTCACCTTAAACAGATTTGGTGCTGGAGGCTGGAGAGGAGGCGGGGTAGGAGGTAGGGTGGAAGAGGAAGTGCTATACCAAAACAAGGGAATAAATCAAGAAAGAAGAAAACACAGGAACCAGGAAACATGATTCAAAACATTAGAGAAGGAAAGGAAATTCCCAAGGTGATGAGGAAAGGAACAGACAGGATATAAGTTCTGCACCAGGCCTAGAGAGCAACCAGTCCAGATTAGAACAGGAAGACAAAAGGCTCCCAGAGGAATACCTCAAGAAAAAGAAAAAGGTTTCAAAAATGGATTTGATGGATAACCTGAAGTGTTTACCACAGTGAGAGGAATTTTACAGTCCTATCGGAGTGTACAGGAAAGAATTGACAGACACGAAAGCAAACAAAGCAAATAGAAAACTAAAGCAATTAACATTACAAATATTAATACTGCTGTTCTTATGTTTTTGGTTTTTTACAAAGGGAGAGATTAAAAGTGAAGCTAATCAGTATAGATTTTTCTTTTGAGAAATTAGGTGTCAAAAAGAAAAAGAGAGTTCAGAGAAGAGAAACACAATAGCACGAAAACTTTCCCTAACTGATCCTCTGACAGCCCATCCTTATAGTAGTATAAGCTGGCATACACTGTCAATCAATCTTATGTAATACCTTTAGCAACCCTGTGAGGCAAGCAGGTTTCTTTCATTAGCCTCCTTTTATAGATAAGGAAACAACCTGCAAGAGCTGAAAAATGTACCCAGAATTGAATAGAAGTGGAACCATACTTCCTAGAATCCGAAACACTTGCTCTTCTATATTCTATAAATAACTTTCCAAAACATCACTTTGTCAAAAATCATACTATACTCATAAGAATAAAATCTAAAAGTCAAAAATCAGCTCCAACATAATGAAATCCTTTTTTTTTAAAATATGTTTTTATTGATTTCAGAGAGGATGGGAGAGGAAGAGATAGAAACATCAATGATTAAAGAATCATTGATCTGCTGACTCCTGCACACCCCCTACGGAAATTGAGCCCGCAACCAGGAATGTGCCCTTGACCAAAATCGAACCCAGGACCCTTCAGTCTGCAAGTTGACACTCTGTCCACTGAGCCAAACCAGTTATGGCATGAAAACCTCTTGAAATAAAAACATATTATGCCTAGTAAAGAATTAAAAATACAACAATTCTATAGTTAAATCTATTTTAACTATTAATATTACAGTATGTTTAAGTTAAGTGAATTAAATTCCTTTAATTGAAAACTAAAAAGAATCAATAATTTTAAGAATAAAACCAAATACACAAAGATTAAAAATATCTACACTAATAAAAGAGAAATATGGTAATTGGTGTACGACCGCTACCCCTTTCATTGGCTAATCAGGGTGATATGCAAATTAACTGCCAACTCAGATGGCAGTTAACCGCCAACAAAGATGGCGGTTAATTTGCATATGTAGGCACAATGCAGGGAGGCG